CAGCCCTCATTTGTGTCTGGCTGTTTTCTTCTGTCCAGCTGTAAACAAGGCCAGCTCCAGTTCTCTTCATACCCTGATCTGCATGGTCAGACCAAGTCAGTAGCCTCAGAGCTCAAGTGCAAGTTCCTTCTTGCAGACAACAGTTCCTGCGCATACTGGGAAGTCACAAAGAGAAGCAACTTGGGAATGACAGAGTTAGGGTCCCTTTTTGGAAACGCATACCTTAGATTCCTACACATACTGGCGTGGCATGGCTCTACCATGAAGCAAAATTAGGTGTTCCTAATAAGAACAACTATTTTTTTCAGCAGACTAGCTCAGCAGATTCATCTTGCCGGGGAGGTGGGGGTGGTAGTGATTGTGTTTTGTTGTTTTACTGCTCTGGGGCTTTGCTTGGCTCAGCCAAAAAAGACATGGATAGAAATACTGTCAATCTGGTCCCACTCCAGGAACCTAATCATGCCTGAATGGCTCGGAGGAGTGTAATGATGGCAACATTACAGGAACAGGTATGTTGGATTCCGTTCTCATCCACTTCGGCCACAGTGTCGCCTTTACAATAAAGCAAACTACGATTTTGAAGGCCCATCGTCTCAATTATCAAAGGGAGGGGGTGTCACTGAAGCCCTTTTCCTTGGCAAGTGGCACAAAGGTAATGTTTAGTATTCACTACACTGAATTCTCCTAGCCAGCTGGTGTGTCCCTGTTAAGACTTTCATTTATGCAGCTTGAGCTGGAACCTTTTTTGTTCTCCCAGTCTATTACTTTGTCGATTCAAGGGATAACAGCCAAAGTGAAACAGCTTGCAATTTGCACCTGTCTGCTCTAAGCATTCCATGTTAGATTGCTGGGAGAGTAAACCCTTCACTGCTAATGAGAATGAGACTGGGTAGGGCTGAATGCAGTTTTGTTGGGGAGGTTATAGGATATCGTCCTGTTTTTTATTTTTCTTTTTTTGTAACTGAATTGATGAAGACCTCCCTATTTTCATGTTTAGAATCCCAGTAGTAAGAGACAAATACAATTCCCCCACAAAAAAAAACACACACACACAAAGTTGTGTACTCTTTAAAGAAAACTTTAAGTGTCATGTAACTAAGAATTAAATTAATATTCAGCCCGAGTTGCCTCAGATAAGAAAGTAAACATTTAAATGCTAAATTATTTCCATGTGGGTGTAAAAATAAAATACCTACAGAGGCCTTTACTTTGCAGCATTGGCAAGGAAAGAAAGTAAATTTTAAAAATTTTAGACGTATTCCAGAAATAGGACTAGCTTTGGTAATAATGCCAAGGGCCCAAAAATAAACTTGAGATTTCTGCTTATATTGCCTTTGAAAATTTAAGCTACTGAATCCAAAATAAAAATTCAAGGATGTCACTTTAAAATCTTACCTAGATAGATAGAAACATCTTTATCCAACTGATCATCATGTGAATCACAGAATGAACTCTCCACAATTGCACAAATGTCAGCACCTATGATTCTCCCAAACCTTTTCCCAATTCTCTGCATCTTCCCTAGCTTTGATTCTTTCAAGGAATTCTATCTGTGGATTAGCATCTATTTTGAAAGAATTAAACTTGTTGAGATGAAAGAGTTTTAATCATGGCTTCTGACGTTTTCCCCAAACCTGAGGATATTAAAAAATTCAAAATAATAACGTTTGAATTATCAGGCAAAATATTCCCAAAGATGATCTAAAATTTAGTAAACTAAAAATTAAAAAAATTTTTAAAAATCCTAATAATCTATTTATCAAAGGATCTGTGCTACCTTTGGATTCCGAATAGTCTCCACATTGGCACCTCCTGTTGAAATAATAACGTATATGATGACGGGTTAAGTGAAGTCAAAGTGGTCGCAAATGTGTCCCACTAGTAATTAATATATTTGAATCTTGTTGGCCCACATCTGGCCTGACAGATAATGTTCCAGCTTGTTCAGCAACGACCCTTTCAGCACAGTGTTAGGACTCCTGCCAGCCTTTGCAGAGTCTGGTCAGGTCAAAGGGTTGAGCCATGTGTAATTCAGAACAGAGGAGGTCCCACGGTCACTCCACAAAAACAATTACACTACTTATTTCACTCTAGCCCTTGCCCAAAATTCACAAGCCTCACAGTTCCAGTGCAGCCAATCTGATTCTGCCCCTAGGCGATGAGCCACATGAAAATATGTGGTGCTGTGTTTATAAATCTAATCAAAAATAGAAACAGCAGACAGGCACCATGAGGTCCTACTATGGATCATGGGAATCCTTGGGAATTCTGAGGCACTTTTTTTTCTCTTCCATAGACTCTCTTTTGCTACGACGTTGCCTGCTACACTCGTTAATCATCCTCTTTACTCGTGAGTGCTACAAAGGAGGCTACATTTCTAGTCACTTCTATCCTTTCCATCCATGGATAACGAAAGAATCAAGCTTAAAAGCCTTGCTTTTAAAGGAGAAAAAAATTAAAGAGGGGCCTATTATGACATCAATCTTACCTCTCTCTCCATGTTATCAGCTTCTTGCCCTTGGCAATGCACAGATTTAAATCAAGTTTCCCTAAAAAAGAAAAATAATATTTTAAAACCAAGGTAAATTGACCCAAACATGAGCTATGTTAAGCAATGTGGGATTGGAGAGCTACAATGCTACTTAATGGTTCCAAAAAATATAAGTATAAAGTCAACAGGATATAAGCTAGCATCTTACTTTTATTGTTGCTCATTTCTTTCTTTGTTTTTTTTTTTTTTTTTTGAGACACTGTCACCTAGGCTGAAGTACAGTGACACCATCCCGGCTCACTGCAACCTCCGCCTCCCAGGTTCAAACAATTCTCCTGCCTCAACCTCCGGAGTAGCTGGGATTGCAGGTGCGTGCCACTACACTCAGCTAATTTTTTGTATTTTTTTAGTAGAGATGGGGTTTCACCATGTTGGCTCATTTCTTAAGCCAGACTCATAATAAACAGAGGGTCAGTCAATATTCTCAAAATGTTTTACAAGGGCAATCTCCAAGAAAATTTCAGATTTGATTTAGATGGCTTAAATTTCCTATTTTATGCCCCAAAAGTGACAAATTCCGATTGCACTGAAGTTACAATGACAACTTGCTGCTGCATGCCTTAGGTAGCTGAACTGTTTATCATTTAAAAATTATGATCCAGTTTTGCAACCATCATAAATAGATAATATCTGATAAAGTCAATGGTAAATATGTGTACTGAGGGGCCAAGCGGGTTAAACCCTGAGAACATCATCCAGCAAAGATATAAAATATAAAAATTATAATGAAAGGAAATGTGGTTTTAACCCTCAAAACTTCTTAAAGTCACACAATAAATTATTAAGGTGAATCTGCAAACTATTCCATTTGATATTATTTTAATTGACAGAAATACTACACCAGAAAACAGTCTGTCCCCAGATAATTTGAATAAACGGGCTTTTTAAATGAACGATGATCCAAGCATTTATTAAATTATTGTAAACATTCAGCAAAAGAGTCTTTTAGACTGTGCATGGTGACTCACACCTGTATTCCTAGCACTTTGGGAGGCCAAGGCTGGTGGATTGCTTGAGCTCAGGAGTTTGAGACCAGGCTGGGAAACATAGTGAGACACCTATCTCTACAAAAAATACAAAAATTAGCCAGGCATGTTGGCATGTGCCTGGAGTCCCAGCTAATTGGGAGGCTGAGGTGGGAGGCTGGCTTGAGCCTGTGAGGCAGAGGTTGCAGTAAGCTGACATTGTGCCACTGTACTCCAGCCTGGGTGAGAGAGCCAGACCCTGTCTCTTAAAAAAAAATAAATAAATAAGAGTTTTTTAAACTTTAAACTTGAAGTTTGCCCTTTTGAAATGGTTATCAGAACTTGGCAGTAAAATAAAGCCCATCATGTATGAATGATACACGTGATACATTTTATTCAGAGCTATCTATTATTGTTTTAAAAAATTACTTCACAAAGTATATATGAGCTTTTGAATAGTATCAATGTTGAAAATGAAAGATTTTGGTCCTTCTAATGCTAATTTTAAAACTCCTACTCTTTTATGTAAAAGCAACCTAAAAGTTTTAAAGATTATGTTGAATTACTTCCTATAGTAAGTCAAAGACATGTAAAATTATTTGAAAGAAAAAACCAGTATCAAGATTTTAAAAAATTAAACAATTGGCAGAAATTGAAGTTTGACTTGCTTGTTTTCCACAGCACAGTGGCTGAAGAGAAATTCAAAAGCATATATTTCTAGGAACAAATGTGGAGCAGAATTTTTTTTCCTTGAATTTGGCCTATTTGTGTTTGAAAATGTTTGTAATTTGTAACATTGTTCAGGTTACTGTCATCACAGATTTATTTTGCAGACATATAACCCAAAGTGTATAAGCCAGAAAGCCCAGGTTACCTCTATTAACATAAATAGAATGCTCAGGAAACTTTAAATAAGGCAGACCACTTGTCTTCCTTCATAGAAGACTGCATTTTAAATGCCTTTCTGCACAAATATTCAGAATGCAGTCTCAGTAGTATATAAGACCCAATATAACTGTAAAAGAAGATCAAAATTCCTCATTATCTCAGATAAAATGTAGAGTTGAATCCAGAAAGCAGCTTGATGGAAGTCAGTGTTGTATCATTTTACAAAGCTGCTGTCACCAGGGGAGGCATACAGCTGTCTACTGCCCTGTCTCAGGAGCAACAGAAGTGGCCCAGGTGCCTCCCCACTTGGGAATCTCTGACAGCTTCCATTAGGCATTATTTCAATAAAGCATGTGAGTCACTGAGTTTGTATGAGCTGGAATTTGGGGTTTGCTGGTAGACCCTCACAACTGAGGGACAACCAGCAGAACATGGGTGATGGAAAGCAAATGACCCAGCCTGAGCCAAGGAAACTCACCAAACATGTGACCTGGCTTTAGAGCATGAATAGATTTAGGCAAGGTGTTGGTTGTGATGGATGTATTGATACATGAAAATGTGTCCCCAGCACAACTTCTCAGGGCTTAGTTCAGAGACCTCAAAATTGGGAAAGAATTGTTAAAAGGTGGAAAACAGCCCTTCAGCTGCCAAGGAGCTCTGGCAAGTGGTGTGGATGGAGAAAAGAGGTATGAGGCTGGGTTCCAGAGACCAGAGGAGCTGGATCAGTGTGAAGGATGCAGGGACCCAGTAAATATGTGCACAGGCAGCAGAGCGAACTTTGAGGAATAGACAAAGAGTCAAATGGGGAAGGGAAATGGAAGAAACCCGTGAGCAAAGAGTGGTGAAGAGAATGAGAACAAGAAGTTCATAGGACAATGAGTAGAATCTGTCAGTATGTAATAATTTTAACAAGTTAGTGATGCATGATCAGCTACCACATTCCCTTTAAAAAACAAAAAACTACATGGACACAGGGAGGGAAGCATTACCCACTGGGGTCTGTCGGCGGGGAAATAGGGGAGGGACAGCAGGGGGAGGGAGTTGGGGAGAGATAGCATGGGAGAAATGCCAGAAATAGGTGATGGGGAGGAAGGCAGCAAATCACACTGCCATGTGTGTACCTATGCAACAATCTTGCATGTTCTTCACATGTACCCCAAAATCTAAAATGCAATCTAAAAAAATAATAAATAAATAAATAAAACAAAAAGCTATTGCTTGAGTAACTGGTAAAATATGAAGCCAATCAGAAAACTGATTGATTTGCTAAACTGTCTATAAGACTTTCACTGCTGGCCAGGCACGTTGGCTCATGCCTGTAATCCCAGCAATCTGGGAGGCGGAGGAGGGTGGATTGCCTGAGGTCATGAGTTCGAGACCAGTCTGGCCAACGTAGTGAAACCTTGTTTCTACTAAAATTACAAAAATTTGCCATGCATGGTAGTGTACTTCTGTAATCCCAGGACTCGGGAGGCGGAGGCAGGAGAACCGTTTGAACCTGGAAGATGGAGAAAAGATCTTCATTGTCAAAAAAGTCCAAAGTAGCTAGCATCAAAAAAGTCCAAAGTAGCTAGCTTAAAAAAAGAACTATAAATTTACCAATAATAATAATAATAATCTTAAGCTTTACCGGAAACCCTAGACTTAATAAATAAACAAATGGGCACCAGTGCAAAACTCACACTGTGACTGCAGGTTTGGATCACACTGTAGCAAGTTTATAGAAATGCAAGAGGCCTGCAAAAGGGATAATTTCTAAAAGCCGATCTCCAACTTGCAAGCAGATTAATAACTGCAATATCCCCTGCTTATAAGTAACCTGTTGGCCACATTCCCTTGAGTCCAAGTTAATAAGATTGCTGATTTGTATAGTCATTTTGTTGTTTGTTGATTTGAAGGCTGATTTCGAAATGGCTTTCAATGAAATTGTTGACCTTATATTGCAAATTAAGCCTTGGAATTGCCAAATCTGATGACCGGTTCATTGCTTCCAGAGAAGGGAATTAACATGGCTACAGCTGTTGTTTCATTGCATTTCTCTTCTCAAGCAGACCAGCAAGGGCAAAAATGGTGTTTCACAGAAGTCACAAGCCAGATTCTGTCTGCAAACACATTTTGTTTAACCTCCACAGTGATTTTTAAAATGCTGAGCCAATGTTTAAAAATAAGAAAGTTGCAACTTAAAATAGAAATCCAATTCTGATTTGTCTTGGAAAATTAAAAGCTGTGGCATCATAGGGTCAGCATTCATGGTTGGCAGCACTTGGCCAGAGGTGAGTGGTGGCAGCATGTTTTTCAGGCAATATTCTCTAGGTCCACAGTTCCCATCCTACCTACTGCAGACCACAAACCAAAATGTACTCTCCCTTGAGGAGAGTAGTCATTGCTACATCCTTGGAAGGAAGAGGAGAGCCTGGGAAACATTGGGTGCTTGATAAATATTCACTATGTCATGTTGAATGAAGTGACCTCAAGGGAGATAGGTAATATTCATAGGTGGCTCTAAGACAACAGGGAGTGTCCAGGAGCCCTCACAATGTATGCCCCAATTTAAAAAACTGCTAATCCTTAGCTTACACTGATGTTTTTCTTATAAAGAAAGAGTTTCTCCTGTCACTAACAAAGGCAAGGCCACAAGTGTCAAGGAAAACTAGAGCCCACATAGACCCAGCACACTCTACTCATTTCCGTTTCTTCCCTGGCCTCTACAGGCATCTGAATTTGAAACTTCTCAGAGAGAGACATGAGAGGAGGCCTGGTACCCACGATGGCAAACTGCTCCACCTCCACCATCATTCTCCCCCTCAACCTGCCCAGTAGTTTTCTGCATTATGGTCTAAATCTACACTGAGGAATAAGTAAAAAGAGGAGTAAGAACAACAGTATGGAATGGACTGATGTGTGTGGTTAAGAAAGAGTTGGTTCAAACCTCCTGCACACAGGAATTGCTTAACCTCTGAAAGTCTCCAGTTGCTCTACAGGATAGTTGAGAAATTTTTAAGATTGTGTATATCAGACTTCCAGCTTCCACTTAGAGTTGTACAAAGCTGGAAAGGGCATCATTCCCAAATGTAAAGCAGTAAATATCCTAACTAA